AACAGCTTTATATGTTTATAAAAAGTAACTGTATACCGCACAAATGTAATACAAAGTTTATTTTGTTAAGCAATAATTTTTTTTTTTTTTTTTTTGCAAATACAATTCTGATAAATGTTTCAACAATGGTTATCATCGTTCAACTCTTAAGAAGTAACAGCTGATTATGGTTTTTCAAAAAAAATCTTTTTTGTCTTCTTACAGTTTCTTCTATAACGGCACCGTAATTATCAGATGTTATGCAAACGGCAACTGTTTAAGTATATTTGTACTACAAAAAAATTTCATGCACAAAAAAAGACAAACAGAAAAGTTACTGAAAACATTGAAAACACCTTTTTTTTTTTTGTTTTTTGTTGCTATGATTATACTTTTGTCAGAGTTGCTTTCAGAACAGTTTACCGAAACTACCAACAACTGGCAACTGTTGGTTGATACTGTTTAAAAGTTTCAAATATGACATATCAAAGTTGAAGACAGCAACAAAATTTGTTATTACTGATTCTTCTACAAGAAAAAAAAAAAAGAGACGATAAATAGTTGAAAATGAATGTATGCATATTTATGTGTACCCATTACAGAGATTGACAAATTCGGGTCAAAAAAAACGAAAAGAAAAAGCCACTAAGAAAAGAGTGAAAAAATTTGAATAACTGAAAAAAAAAAGTTATGGTCATAAAAATTTTTGAATTGCCAACGAAAGGTTATTTGCGATGTTTTCAGATATAAAAAAAAAAGAAGTAAAACAAAAAAGCGAGCAAACAAATAGACAAAACAATTTGTATTAAAAAAAAATCCCACCAATTTTTTCTCTTCATCTTTTTACTTCTATTTTGACCCTAAACTTAAAAACAGCAATAAAGATTTGTGATGACGGGTAAACTGCAATCAGATTCTAATCTTAAAACAAAACACCATTAAATGAGAGAGAGAGAGAAAGTAAAAAAAAAAGCTATTTTGTTTGTTAAAACATAAAAATTACATAATTATCTGACGACAACAGTTATCATTTTGTTCTTCCATTATTATTATTATTATTATTATTATTATTATTATTATTATCAATGATATTATAATAACAGTAATACCAATAACTAATACCCTATTATTATTATTATTGTTCCTATTATTATCATTATACTTTTTGCCAAATTTATTTATTTATTTATTTATTCATTTTTTGCTTCTTCTAAAATACAGTAAACATAGCAAACAACGAGCAGAAGAAAAAAATTGCTTTTTCTTTCACTTTTTGTTACTGTTATTAAATTTTAAAAAAAAAAATTTTTTTTATCAGAAGTCAAGAAAAAAAAAAAAGAAATTAAAAGATTAAGGCAAAAAAAAGAGAAATGAAAAGCAGAAAATAAAGTGGTAAATTTTTTTATGGAAATAAATGTATATGACAACTATTTTTTGTTGTATAGTTTTCTTTTTTTTTTTGCTTTTATTTCATTTTGTTCTTTTCATTTAATAAAAAAAAAAAACATTTTAATGATTTTTTACTTTAAAAAAATACCAAAAAATGGTTTTTTTTCTTTTACATAACCTAAAGATATCATAAAAAGAAAATTGGCTTAATATAAAACAGACTAACCAAATTGAACTGTTACTGCTAACTGTCTATTGAGTGTCTAACTGATGACCATCTTCAGTAGCCGAATCATGAAGGCGATAATTCTGTAAGTTAGATAATCTTCCATTAACTTAGCATCTGCTAGTCCTATTTTGGTTCTTCTGCTTTTTGTTCTGCTATTAAACAAAAACCGCTTAATGATAGTATTATTAGTAATCTTTTTTTCTATCAAAATTTAAAAGGCTGAACATCGACTGATAGTATTGACTGTATAGAAAATTTACAGAGAAAAAATTACAAAAAATTAGTCATAGTTTTTTGACAGTTACAAAATAAAAACTTAAAAAATTGAATGAACTGTTCTTCTTTATAATTTTTTTATTCTCCTAATTTTTTCCAGAAGCACTTACATCTGTGTTGCAATGGCACAACTGTTGTTGGTGAGTTAAATTCTGGTTATATTGACTACATAAACTATCCATGTAGCGTTTTGGAAAATCAACACAACAGCTTGAAAAGTGATAATGTAAACATTGTTCAGTTCATTCCTATTGTTCCGCAACATACAATTTTTTTTCCTTTTTTATTACCCAAAAACATGTGTGAACTTATTGAATATTGGTTAAGCCTGAATACGACATACAATACCGGTCACCACCAGAGGAATATGCAGAAGTACAAAAACAAGATTGCGGTCTAAATGGCTGCTTTTCTTTATCGGAAGTTCCAGTTGAAGATAGGCCTGTTGAAAGGTTCGAAGACTGTACAGAAACCGAATGCTTTCCGGTTGAACAAATTGGTGAAATTCGTACAGTTAACACAAAAGTTCCAATGATCAACGGCGAGTTTCTCAAAGAATCACAGACTTCAGCAACAATTCCATCGTCAGCATCAGTGTCTCAACCGTTACTTTACAAAGAAAAAATGTTTGGCGAAGTGCCGATATACGAGAAATTACCATACCAAAAGTTTCAAACTGCATCAGCTTATTCCAGACAAACACCAAAAGTTTTCTATGAACCATCTTTTTCGTACAGTTCACCATATGCTACACTTTTTGGCTATTCAAATCCAAAAACTGTATCACTGTTTAGCAACAGCAGAAAAGTAGGTTTTAAAGTGAGATTTTAGAAAGCTAATAGTTATTTACCGAAAATTTTTTGTAAAAAAGCTGTATTTTTTTTTCTGTAAATTTTTCCTCATGCTTTTGTGATCTTCTTTCAAAAGTCTAATTTAGAAAGAAAACTACAGAAAAAAAAAGTATTTTTTCTCGATTTATTTTATATAAATCTGTTTAAAAATATTTTTTGTATATTCTAATATGTACCGAGTTTATTCTCCTACTATAGCCGTAGAATACCGTCTCTGTTTTCGTACCAAACCGGTAAGATACCGCCTCTGTTCGCCTACCCAAAAGGTTGTTCAGCAGGTTTGTTCAGCTTCGGCTGTGTAGCTCGCGACGTTCCAATTGACCACAGCAGTGTTTACAACTCGATTAGACGGAGACGATATGATTTTGCATGATTAAAGTAGAACAAAAAAATATCAAAAAAAAAACACTTAATTGTCCTCATTTTTGCATTTATTCTTCACAGTAAACTGGCTTTAGCATCATCTGTTTATCAGATGCATTTGTAAACTTTGATAATTGATGGCTAATGTAAATATTTCTTTTGTGATTTCAGAAAAACGACGAAACAGAAGAAGCATTTAGTTTAACAGTGACGATTGTTCAACTTTTTTCTTCAGCATTTGTCAGTGATATAATAACTGTTTACAATTTGTTTTAGGTAGTTATAAGTGCCAATAAAATTTGCTCCTTTCCTTATTTTTAAAATAGTCATACCTCCAAACCGAGTAATCTACTCGGTAATTTGTTATTTTTGTTAAATTAGTCAGTCCACAAGTTTAACCAACCTATATAAAAAATGCTGAACTGCTTGGAAATAAAGAGTGTTTAGGCAAGAAAAGAAAGACAAAATGACCCAAACACGTCGTTTTTATAAAAGCCAAATTTTGATGTACCAAACTGTTTAAAACGAATTACATTAAAACATTAAACTAGAAAGCACACACATAAAAACATTTGTTTGACTGCCTTGCACTTTTATCAACACCATCAGACTATTAACATTGACTATTAATTATATAACATATGTACATCAAAACAATACATAAAAAGCAGATTTATACAAACGTTTACTTCCTTCAGTAAAATATTACCAAAAACTGCAGGTAAATTTACGAAAAAAATATGCTTGCTGAAGTATCATTAAATCAACACTTAACAATATAGGGCTTTTTAATTTACCAAAATATGTCAAAATTGATATCGCAACTGCGCTAAAAACCTGTAATTGATTCAACTTTTTTCCGTTTTGGTTTACCAAAGATCATTTTATTTGTAATCAAAGTCCAGTGAATGAGTTAAGTTTATGATACCAAAAACACGAAGCAAGTGTAGAAATATTCGTTGACAAAACAGGCAATTGACAGCTTTTTCTGTATTATTCAAAACCGATTGAACAGTGAAAAATAATTTTCGGTAGCTTATTCGTAGCCTGTCATTTTCAGCAATTACAGAATACTGTTTTGCTGTTGTTAGTCAAAATGTAAAAATAAATTCAGTGGTAGTAAAATAAGTTTCCAAGTTAGCTTGCGGAGGCTTCTTGCAACGATTACCTTACAACTATCGTTCAACAAAAAAGCCTACGCAAGCTAAAGCAAGCCAGAAGTTTCAAGAATTCTTTTCCTGCTCAATTACGCTGTCGCCACTGATCGTTTTTGGTATCCCGTATGGCGACAGGTTACAATGCTTGCGATGAAATTCAAACACGTATCTAATATTAGGCTTGTCCTACAACAATTCTTGCGGCTAATGACGCACAAAAAAGAGAATCTTAATTTTTTTAGATTTCATTTTTTAGCTATCAGAAGGGCATATTGTACTTGTAGTCAAAAAACGGTGAAAAATTACAGCCAAAAAGTTTATATTTTTTCAAGTTAGCCTAATTCTCTTATTGGTATACACTGAATGAGAGCAAATGAGATGCTAAGCATTATTTTTCAAAAGAACAAGTAATGTTTGATCAACAGATTTCTCTAAACCTTAATCAATGTTTTAACACTTGGTGACCGCTAAAAAAAGGGCAGATATAAAGCAAATAAACGAATGAACAAAAAATTTGCATCTATTGCTCCCCATTATCCTTCTCTCCTTTGTCCCCTCATCATTGCCGTTTATTTAAAACACTGACAGAGGACAAAACACGAGATTACACTAATTTCAGTCATATTCAATTGATAAAAATCATATCGGTGTAAAAACAATGACAGTAAACATAAAAAAACACTTTAACAGAAATATTTGTAGGCAGTTATACAGGGCGAACCTCATGAAGAGAATAACTTAATCTTTATCTCCTTAAATTAAGAGGAACATTAAAATAAGTTTTACATAGACGTAATTACCCTTTATTTGATCAAATCTTAAACTTAAACAAAACCAATAATAAGTTACCAAAAGCGACGAAATATAACAAGAAAAAAGGTTTGCTCAACGTAAACAAAAAGTTGGCTTGTCATTTACACATCTTTATATACCTTTTCTCCATGTACTTACTTCAAACTGACTTCCATAACTTCTGTAATCCCGATTTTAAACTAATTAAAGTTTCATTAATTATTTAATGTCACAAAAAATTACGTTTATTTATTTATGTATTTATTTATTTATCTGTCTATTTATTTACCTCTTTATTTTTGTTTAAAATTAAATATCATGACTAAATGTGATAAAAAAGTTAATTATTAAAAATGAAGAAAATTTACGATACGCAATCAAGAAAAGACAAAACGATATACCCGACTGTCCCAATTAAACTGTTGCTACAGCAGCAGTAACAATAACGACAAGAAAAGCTATAGAACGAACAGAAAAGAGCACGTAATAACTGTACCGATACATTGCTAATCATAGAGGAAAATTTTTCCAGGAAAGAAGAGAAAGTTTAGCGATAAAACGTCACGCCGTTTTTCCGATATATGTCTTACGAAATTGCTTGATATTTTTCGCGGTAGCCAACCAACCTTGTTGATGTTCCGACAGTCACCGAGATTCTAGGTTCCAGTAAGGCTTTGATTGAAGTAGCACAATAAGGAGTAGTTGGTTAGGGAGAGGTAAAAGACGGTAGTGGAGGAAGCGAAAAAAGACGTGGTGAAACGGCTCAATGAGAGAAGGATGAAAAAAAAAAACAAATATTTCGATGATTTATGGCCATTACTTATAAAAGTGAAGCAAAAATATGTTTTTGAAGAGAAAAAAAAAAGGCGACAAGAAGAGGAGAAAAAAAAAGTATAAACTTTTCTCTTTTAGGCGAACAATGCTGTCGTTGTTGTTTCGTTGTCCTCCATTTTCCACTTTGTTTGCGAGGCTCGAATTGTTTGGAAAGGAAAAAAGTAAGTAAGCATATTTTCGTGTTTCTGTGTCTGTCTATAGGTGAATGTTTGTGTACAAAAAAAACTTAAAACTCAAATAGAAAAAAAAAAAA